AAACACTAAATCTAACCTATTTTGTCTATTTCTAGTTCTACCCAATTAATCGGCTTACTGATGCTTCCATTTATCCGCCTTCCACGCTTTCTTTCTTTCTTTCAGAAGAAGAAGAAGAAGAAGAAGAAGAAGAAGAAGAAGAAGAAGAAGAAGAAGAAGAAGAAGAAGAAGAAGAAGAAGAAGAAGAAGAAGAAGAAGCGATCGCTATTGCTGGCTGCGGCGTACACTACATTTATTGGGTATTGCTGAGTATCGTTGCAATCATCATCTTGATAAATGTGGGGTGCGTGCGTATGTGCATATAACGCATGTGAGATCCCAGCCCCTCACCACCCACCCACCCACCCCCTCCCCTGTGTTAAAACTCACTGTGTAGTGTGGAACCAGGTCATGTGTCGTACGCTCAGAGGGACGGCTTAGTTCTGTCAACCACTTGCGCCCAATTCCCACAGCACATGACCGACTGGCTTGACACGAACCCGCAGTTCAGTGGTTAGGGGCGTTGGACTACAAACTAACAGGTCGCGCGATCGAATCCCAGGTATGGCGGGGTTGGGTATGGCTAACTGACGATGTCCAACAAGCCGGAAATGACCAATCCAGTCTCCCTTATTGCTATCATCAATGCTATTCTGCCTATACCACGCGTCTCACTGCAGCAGCAATATCCCATAAATGCAGTGTACGCCGCAGCCAGCAATAGCGATCGCTTCTTCTTCTTCCTCTTCTTCTTCTTCTTCTTCTTCTTCTTCTTCTTCTTCTGAAAGAAAGAAAGAAAGCGTGGAAGGCGGATAAATGGAAGCATCAGTAAGCCGATTAATTGGGTAGAACTAGAAATAGACAAAATAGGTTAGATTTAGTGTTTCTTCAATGCTTCAACCAGCCATTTTGGGTACCTGCCATTTGAGACCGGATAGTTGTGCGGAGCGTGGGTTGCATGCACTCTATCTGATTCATAGGTTACCAAGTTTCCACTTTGTTTGCAAGTCAGAGGCGCGTTCCGCCGTGATCTTTGCCCCTCCCCCTTCCCCCCATCGTTCGTCTCAGCGAAAGTGGGTGGTCTCAACGTCTTCGCATCTTGACTGTTTTAGATCGGGCAAGTTAGCCCAACCAGATAGGAGGCAGGCAAGTTTATGCAGAGGGTTGATTACCGGTCGGAAGGCCTCCAGGCTTCTCACACTTGCCTCGATGTGTGGTTGCCACCTCGCCCACAATATCTGCGGCGTTAAGGCTGAAGATGTGTTACGTCTGCGTTGTCTAGGTTGCCACCTCCGAACGACTAACTGATGTTTGTGCACTCATGTTCAAAATTGGCCTCTCCGACGTACTGTTGACTTTCCCTAGTTAGGGATATGGTGACTAGGTTGCATCACTCTCAGGCGAACTACAGAGTCAGGCCAGTGCACCTCTCCTCCTTCCTATGATATGTTGCATGAGAATGACATTTGCCCTATGAATTCCAGAAGTACTGTAATGTGCTTTCTGGGACATAAGAGAAGAGCTGGTGATTATCAGCGGTGCCTGCATGGCGGTCGTGTAGCGATAACAACGGTGCGAGATCTTTTGTGACGTTGTAGTTGTTTCGTATCCTCGTTCGTTTGAAACGTGAACGTTGAGTGCAAGCATTTATTCGCACTGTCTGAGTGATTGGGAACAGGAACGGTTAGAAAACCGTCTGAATCGTTGCGGCTAAATGGGAAGCATAGTGATGGGTCAGAGTTTCGGCAAGGAAGGGTTGCCGAAGGCATGTGGGTGTGGAAGTCGAGGGAGGAAAGAAGCTGTGAGGAAATGAGGATCGCAGCTTTGCAAGTTGATGGAGGCTTTGCGCGGTTTTCTCGGCTTTAGAGTAAAATAGTCTGACTTTTCCTGATGGTGAGACTACGTGGAATTGTTGAGGTATCGTGCACTCTTACTGCCGTTAAACCTACCAGAGTCGATACTGCAGGATGACCATGCATTGCTGCGGAGCTCACTGGTTCCGTTATGCCTTGGGGTTCTCTCTCTCTCTCTCTCTCTCTCTCTCTCTCTTTAGATTCCCGCCAGCAGCCGCATAGCAGCGCGTCTTATGGACATAATGAAATTACGGACAAAGACTAGGGAGGATGATATGTCCATTTCTGAAGATGAAGATGCGATCACTGGGACAAGAAGTTTATTTGCCTGACGTTTCGGATTCTCACTTGAACCCATCATCAGAGACATTCGCAGATGATGTCTCTGCGAATGTCTCTGATGATGGGTTCGAGTGAGAATCCGAAACGTCAGGCAAATAAACTTCTTGTCCCAGTGATCGCATCTTCATCTTCTGAACTGCTACCTGGGACTCGCCTGTTCGCTTCTATCAGCATGTCCATTTCTGTCTGGCTTAGGACAGCGAATAAGGCACAAATGACTATTCCAGTCTCCCTAACCTTTGTCGGTTATGCTATTCTGCCTATATCATGCGCCGCTGTGCGGCGGCCGCCTGTGCTCGAGGGAGACCCCGAAGGCATAATGGGACGAGTGAGCTCCATGACCAACCTCTCATATCACCCGCTTGTACTGCGCATTCAGCAGGCAAGGTTGGATGTGCGGATGTTCTCCTTCTCTGTTCGAGTGGTCAAACCATGGAATGTCCTTCCTGTAGATGTTGTGATGTTACCACCGATAAAAAATTTTCAAAAGAACCTCGACCTATTCGGGTCCTGAAATGACCAAGAGCGATGAGAGATCGAGCTCATCCCCTGTGACTTTCTCCCATTTTGTCCTACCATTATGGGCTCGTTCGAACTATTTCAGCCTGGCAACTTTTTCTGTACACCACACATTTTTAAGTTGCAAATGGGATACTCAAATGCTTTTACCTATTTCCCTCAATAAACTGGACTGAACTGAAAAAGGGCGTTTGTGTCCAAAATGTAAGCAGTTGACTTTTGAACGATCCACATACATTTGCTATTTTGACGAAGCCTTCTACTGCACCACCTTCGCGCTTTATTCGCATTTTTCCGGTTGACTCACCTTCTCCTGTTTCGTCGGCATTTATATTTGTGGCACTACTAATACTACTACTACTACTACTACTACTACTACTACTACTACTACTACTACTACTACTACTACTACTACTACTACCACTACTACTACTACCGGCACTATTACTGTCATCACCGCCGCCGCCACCGCCACCGCCACCGCCGGCACCACCATCACCACTATTATTACTACCTCTTTTTTAGTATTCCACTGTCCCCTATCCTTTTCTGGCTCCCATTTTGGGTTTCATATAGGCCGCTTCCAAGTGACGCAATGGCCTATGTACGGCGGATGAAACTAGACGTGTGTAAACAGCTGGAAAATATGGTCAAACTGATTTTGGCGTGGTAACTTCTAGCTGCTTAATTTTCGAATTCCCCTTTCCTTTTTTCCACTATCCTTCCCACGCTGTGTTTAAGTTGTTGGTTTTGTTGATTAGTCTGCATTACCCTAAACCATGACCTTGCTCTTTTGCATTGATTTTTTGCTCGAATTCAAACTGGCGTATTCTTCTCACTCGTTATTTATTTTATGTATCGGCAGGACTCAGCTGATGAGTCGTTGCACAATTTGTTGGTATCAATACATTCTGCTTTGCACGCTTGCATCAGGAAAAATGTATCCATTTTTTCGGCGCGCTCTCAACTTGAAAAGGTTTCATGAACGAGACTGAGAAACGGAATGACTGGCGAAGCAATATTATGTTAGCTCCTACCCTGTCTTTTTGGGTGAACACCCTGTAGATTTTGCATGAACAACAATTGTTATTTCAGCATTGTGTACTTTCCTATTGATTTGTTCGATCTCGACATGAAGTCGATTATACGGCTTTATAATAGGCTCATAATAATTCCTTCCTTGTTGCTAATTTCTTAGGACCCCGCATCTCCTTATACTTTCCTTTGTACTCAGAGCTGCTTGTTGGTGTCTGGATAGTTTAAACAGCCGACATTTTCACTTAGGGCTTCTAAACTGCGCTTTGCATACTTCCTCAATACCCTATTAAGTAGCCTCCCTGGTGTTCACGAGATCATATGGCACACTTCGTGAGCAACATTTATACACCTTCGGGACAGTTGGCTACAGTGCGTGACCTATCTCATGAAATGTTGGCTGAAATTCTGTAATGCGTTTTCGATTAGGAAGGATTACTTGGTGGCGGCTGTGATACTGATTATCTTAAGGCATACTCTTATAACATTTTGGACTCGGCAGGATGTCGGCTTTTAAATGCACTTCTTTTCAATCTCCTGTAGAAAGCATGCTCGGTAAAAATGACTACTTAAGTAGCATGCATTTTTCCCACTGATTTTCAATGGTCTTGGAAATTCAAATATATTTCATAGAAACCACAAACAAAAATAGGCTTCCTTTTAGTCAATCAATAGAGAATCACGTCTTCTTTATATTTTATACTTAAGGAAGGAGTATAATTAGGTTTAAAAAAAGTTTTCTAATTGCCGAAAAATTTGGAGCCTGATCATTCGTTGCATCAGCGCTTAGTGACTTAACTCTACAAGGTGCATGCGTTCCGCGTAAAGAAAATCACATATTTTTCTATGTCATTAAAGAGATATCATACAGGGTCCATAAAATTTTGCAATGGATGTGGACCATGTTGTACATTTCATGAGGAGCAATGGTAAACGGCCAGGCACGATGGTATGTGAATGGACATATCGCGGTCTTAAAAAGTCTCATAATTAGAAACTTTTTTAAAACCTAATTATACTCCTTCCGTAAGTATAAAATATAAAGAAGACTTGATTCTCTATTGATTGACTAAAAGAAAGCACATTTTTGTTTGTGGTCTCTATAAGATATATTCGAATTTTCAAAACCATCGAAAATCAATGGGAAAAATGCATGCTACTTAAGTAGTCATCTTTTGCCGAGCACGCTTTCTACTGGAGAGTAAAAAGAAGGGCATTTTAAAGCCGATATCCTGCCGAGTCTAAAATGTTATAAGTGTATGCCTTAAGATAATCAGTGTTACAGCCGCGACCAAGTAATCCTTCCTAATCGAAAACGCATTTCAGAATTTCAGCCAAAATTTCATGAGATACGTCACGCACTGTACGTGTATGATCGTACGAACGACTCGACGTGTCCCAGGTGTTCTAAATAGGGAGTGATTTTGAACTTTATTCGGTCGGATGCCGTTATGTAGCCCCACCTGAAGTAAACAAACCTCAGTCACCTCTAATATAGGCCAGTGGCAATAGGGGTTTTTACAGGTGGGGCCGGGGAACGCACAGGCGACGAGGTCAAGTAGTTGAATGCAAGAGGAAAGCTATTGGAAATACGCGGTTGTACTTTGAGTGGTTAAAAAATAGGTGCGCTAATCCCTAACCCTAAGCCTAACCCCTAACTATAATCCCTGATCCTAAACCTCAACCCCTAACCCCGACCTCTAACCCTAACCCGCAACCATAACTTCAACTCCTAACCCTTAACTCCAACCCCAACGACATTGTGCCCATCAGGTGGGGCTACCAAACCACATCTTACCCTTTATTCCGTACGGGTGACTGGATTTGCGCTGTGTCAGAAGCCGGCATGTTCCCATTTGGAAGTTGGGAAAATGCTTTGCGCTAATCAGTGCCGTAACCTCGTACAAGCAGGCCTTTCCGCTGGAAGGCTTTGAGAAACACTTAGGTCAGCATATCAGGGTTTTCGGTGCCTCCTATGCTTAGCTGGACCGGTCCAGGACTGCTGCACTTTGCGGCCTATAGACCGAGCATAGCAGCCCTTGTATACTGTTTAAGTAGTTGGGGCAGAATATTATGAACAGTGGTCATAAAATGCCATTCACCCTTGGTTAATTCTGGTCCAAAGTAATTTTTTTTCGAAAAAAAAACAGTCATTGTCAGTTCCCCTTCAACGCGCTGCGCCATTGACTCGCCTAAAATACTACAGTGTAATGCTTACTACGCTTACGCTCTCCCACACCGACAGCTAGTCGGGGTGATTCAAGCCCGTGAGGCATTCTGCACAACAAAGACGCTACTCCGTGGAGACCCAGTAAGGCACAGCCCGAAGGTGGAAGAGGAATTAGTCAATTTTTCACACAGTGAGAAAGGCTGAGTCATAGGTCTCAGCAGGAAAGCGCAAGGATTTCGCCTTGAGGCCAGTTTGTTTAAGTGCACAGAGGAGAAAGCACAACGGGCTCGGATCGAGTGTCGGATTATAAAGTGTAGGAGTGGGATCACCTTGTCAGATTTAGAACTTTAACCCACAGTCCTGTGATTTCAGCAGTCAGGCGCCCGACAACATCTTGCCAAGTGTAGGCCAGCAGGACACAGGCGGACTTCGTTCGTATGCCAATTTCGTTTTTTTGAATAACAACTTTTTGATCGATTTGAGGTCAGGACTAAGGGAGTGGACTGGCAGTCCCTCTGACGGCTCACATGCACTCAGATTTGGCGAGCGTCTAGAAGGCTTACTTCCATGCTAGGTCCAGAAAGGATCTTTCACCTCTCCTGAAACCTCTGACGGTCTTATACTGCTCAGTAAAGCCAGTGACGCCAAACGACAGTCGCGGAAAAGTGGTAAAAGATCGCAATGCTTATGCCTACCCTCCACACTTTATGATTATGTTTAACCGTTTGTTTCTTTCTAACTTTCGGCAGAGTTGTTTGGGCTTTTTTCTCTCAAATTTTAGACACTTGTTATTGATTTCTTGGCTCTGCCGATCTTCCCCTTATAGATAAGTGAGAGGGCAATCAAAAGCAAAAGTCAAATAGACCACATTGAATAAACCTTGCCGATTTCACCTTCGTCTCCTCAGGCTACGAAACAAAAGTTTGTCAGCTCCATGCAGTTACCATTACTGCAGGTGAATGAAGAGTTCCGTTCTTCTACAGGATCTTCAGCTCAAAGGCCAGATATGAGTGCAAGGGAAGGTAGGAGTCATTTAGCGAAACATGTAACTCCCCGCTGAATTTCTGAAGTTATCGCATCGAAAATGAACTTTTTGGGCCAGGTCTTAGAATTTTCTGCAAAAATCGAACTGAATGCCGTCGAATTCTGCATAAAA